TGGGGACATGGCCAGGGTGGCCTTGGGGATACAACCACAGTGGCCATGGGGACCCAACCATGGTGGCCACGGAGGTGGTGACCCTGCTCACCAACACCGGTGACCCACCGGTGGTGACCCGCCCCGGTGACACCCCCGTGACCCCCGGTGTCCCCCCGTGACCCCCGGTGTCCCCCTGTGACCCCCGGTGTCCCCGCAGGGCCAAGTGGCTGACGGAGCCCAACGAGGACGCGGAGGAGCTGTTCCGCATGGTGGGCGAGGTCTTCATCTACTGGTCCAAGTCTCACGTGAGTGGGGGGTCCCAGCGGGCCTGTGGGGGGGTCCCTGAGGGTTTTTGGGGGTCCCAGGAGACCTTTTGGGGGTCCCTGACCCCCCCCGCACGTGTCCCCCCGCAGAACTTCAAGCGTGAGGAGCAGAACTTCGTGGTGCAGAACGAGATCAACAACATGTCCTTCCTGACGGCCGACAGCAAGAGCAAGATGGCCAAGGTGGGCTGGGGGTCCCCAAAATGCCCCCCACCCCCAGGACCCCCAGCCCGCCCCACGCCCCCAGGCTCCAACCCCCCCTGAGCCCTGAGACCACCCCAAAATCCCACCTGGGATCCCAAATTCAACCCAAATCCTGCCTTGGACCCCACATTCACCCCAAATCCTGCCTTGGACCCCAAATTCACCCCAAATCCTGCCTTGGACCCCAAATTCACCCCAAAACCCCACCTGAAACTCCTAATTCACCTCAAAATCCCACCTTATACCCCAAATTCACCCCAAAATCCCACCTGAAACTCCTAATTCACCCCAAAATCCCACCTGGGACCCCGAATTCACCCCAAAATCCCACCTGAAACTCCTAATTCACCCCAAATCCTGCCTTGGACCCCACATTCACCCCAAAATCCCACCTCAAACTCCTAATTCACCCCAAAATCCCACCTGGGACCCCACATTCACCCCAAATCCTGCCTTGGACCCTGAATTCACCCCAAGTCATGCCTTGGAACCCTGAATTCACCCCAAAATCCCACCTCAAACTCCTAATTTGCCCCAAAATCCTACCTGGGACCCTTAATTCACCCCAAAATCCCACCTGGGACCCCAAATTCACCCCAAAATCCCCATCTGGGACTTCTAATTCTGGCCCCAGTGCTCTTCCAGTGTCCCCAGTGCTGTCCCAGTGTCCCCAACACTGTCCCCGTGTCCCTCACATTGTCCTCGTGTCCCTAACGGTGTCCCCGTGTCCCTAACGGTGTCCCCAACACTGTCCCCGTGTCCCTAACGGTGTCCCCATGTCCCCAACACTGTCCCCATGTCCCTAACGGTGTCCCCGTGTCCCTCACACTGTCCCCGTGTCCCTAACACTGTCCCCGTGTCCCTCACACTGTCCCCATGTCCCCAACACTGTCCCCGTGTCCCTAACGGTGTCCCCATGTCCC